TCATAAGTGCATTTTCACTCCGATCTAAAATTTTAATGTACGCACGCTGCACTGCATTGCAACAAACTCTGGTTCATTCCAGTCGTTTATCTGATGACCTGTTCTAGTTCAGCAGCGTACTGGTCTTGCATGCTTTTTAACGTTAGTCTATTAAAACTTCCAATTTCAAATACTATCCTGAACATTCAGTGTTCTCTCAAGGACTTTTTTACACTGTTCTCCACATGCTTCTCCATTTGCCTCCACTGTCCAAGAAGATACAAAATACAAGCCAAATTTTATGCACTTTTAATGCAGTTTAAAGTACTAGAGACAATGGGTGTTAAGCTTGATTGTCTACAACTTTTCCATTTGAAGGAATAAAACAATCAATTCAATTTTATATCTTCCAGTTTAAACCCACTGATAAGCACTGTACAACGTCCATTCCAGATTCTACTCCCGGGGCCAAAACTTCGTTATTACATCATCTCATTTGTAGTAAGCAAGTCCTCAAGTGGACCACATAAGGAAAAAAAATCAGTTGGTTTAATCCCTAAAGCGAAGGAAGCCAAAATGCACATCGAAGACAATTCTCTTCAGAAAAATAGCAAAACCACTGAACATCAATCACACCTACTTCATCCTTTTGACTAAAATATAGCTATTCTCATGATGCTACCAATTTTACTCATCTGCAATGACTATACTAGTACCTCTGAGTTTCAAAGACACTGACGTAATCTCTTGGACAAAAGAAATCCATGTTTTGTTTCCTTAGCACCAGAAGATTTTATTAGATAAGTAATGTTTCAGCGTGTGACAGGTGTTCATTTTAGTATAGGAGATTATGGAATTAAACAAAAAACCTCCCAACCATCCCTTGCAAGAAATGCATTAGAAGAGCTAATCTTTCTTCTAAGGCGCCTGTACAGGGAATTCGTTTTAAGAAAAAGTACTTGCGTGGAAAGTGCATGATCTGACTTTCAGAAGTATTATGTACCTATTATCTCTCAGAAGTTTTAGCAGCAAGTACAGAACCGTGATGCCCGCGAAGGAGAAAGGTACGATGGTAGCAGAGAAGAAACTAGTCACCCGGCCTCTGTGGTTGGTCTCACAAATACACATAAGAGTTTTGCAAGACTGATTTCAGCAGGTGATTTCATACATGCTGATCAAGATGCTGTTTAAGTGCATTAAGTAACAAGCCCAGGAATAATTTCATGTTTTACTCAGGCGAATTAAAAGTGCTGTGTTTTCATGCAATTCAAGGACCAGGTGCAAACACAGTGTTTCATGTGAGATGGAAGAACAGTTCAGCTATAAATGTTTTCTCGTATCTCTAAGTTGTTTTCAACTATACGCTGTTCAACATGAAAAATAACTGTTGTTTACCAGATTTTCTTTTTATTTAAAAAGAAAAAATCATTCATGTTGTTGAACCAAAGCTTATCGTTTAAAAGAAACATAATAAGCTTCTTATCCCATATGACTTCTTTGCCCTGAGGACAATGGCCAAAGTTAGTAAGTCAAAGGCAGCTTCAACTACACTGTGTTTTTCTGCCCCAGTATCTTCTCATAGCTGTCCAGCAAAGTCTGATCAAGATACAGAACTTCATGGATTATATACGAGCAGACACTTTATCGCCTAAACTGCATAGTCATTGATTACCATTCAGTCAGCTGATACGGTTTTTGAGCTAGCGGAAGGCTAGGTGGGGAGGGAGGTTTAGTGTAACTACTTTGTAATTCAGGAGAAAAAGTACTATACCCAGGCTGGTTCTTCACCATTAGTTTTTTAGCAGTGGTCTCTTCCTGGCTTACCCAAAATTACTGTCTTAACCATTCAGTTAGACAGTAATTACAAATGATCAGAACTTCACTCTTGCAGCTTTTCAATGGAGTTTTTAGGTAAATAAGTATCAGCAAACACTTGAAACTAACAATTTTCAGCAAGGTGTTCCTTACACACGTCTAGCGCAGTATCACATTGCTCTATTGACCCCAGTAATTTTGAAAAAGCTATTAACACAGCTTTTCAATCATACTCCGTAAGAGCTGAAAATACACTCTTTTCATCTGCTATTAACATGCTGTGGTTTTCCTGCAATTCTGCTTCTACTTGAAATTTAGAAGAAAAAAACCCAACAATATTAAGACTCAACATTCATGCAGCCCCAATATGAAACCATTACGAACTTCTGATAGAAACAAGTCAGCTCTTACTGAAGGAGGATAAAGGAGCAGAAGAGTTACCAAGCGTTGTACCTTCGATGGCATTTAGCATTTATGTCCTCCTCATTTCCCTGTTTCCACATGATTTTTTCACATCCTAAAAATAAGAAATGCAACTGTATAGCCACAAGACATAGTAAGGAGGTGCAGAGGAAGGTATAAGGCCCGCAGCCCTTACTTTCTTCAAGGCCGGATTTCAAGATGAGTTGGATCAATTTCCAAACAAGATTACACCCTAAAGCTGCTAGTGATACCAGGACATGCCATTCAGCCCTACGCCCTCCTGAGCTGTTTAAAACCGAAAGCCAAATCCAATCGTCATAAAACTTGCCACGCTCATTTGCGAAGAGCAACGTGGGACTACTGACTGCACATTTTGTAATAAGCCTAGTAATAAAACATCTGCAGTGCTTGAGTTTTGCTGTGCTGTTGGTTCTGAATGGTACTTTGTATTGCTCCAATTAGATTAGATGTACTGCGTTTGATATCTTATTTAGCTCAGCAAGCAGCATTAAGGAGACACACAGCAAAATTCAAGCGACTCACAGCTTAAGCCATTCCCTTTTCTGTCTAAGGCTATTCACACCCCAAACTCCCACTTTGCTTTCTGCTCTTAAAACACCAAAGCAACTAGATCAGGCACGCTTTTTATAAGGAGAGGGTAAACAGGGCGAGCTGTGCGCTTCTGTACCGTCAAGCTACAACATCGATTTCCTCAAACCCTGCAAGAAGTTTGCAGTCGGAAAGCAACAGGGAGGGGAAACCCCCCCCCCCAAACTCGGAGGAGGTACCGAGCCGCGGGGGCGCGGAGGGTCCCTAACAGGCTAACTCCCGAGCAGCGCAGCGCTAAGGAGAAGCCGCTGACCGCTCCCCCCGAGCCGGGCATTACCTAGCTTTCCCCGTCAGCCGAGGGGCCCGCC